CTTTTTTTTTTATTGTAAACCTTGTACATTAAATTACCTTTTATGTGATATTTGTTTTAGTTTATTGCTGTTGCTGCTCATCCACCTGGTTCTTCTTATCACAAGATGGGTGCCCCACTTACTGGTAGAGGTGTCATACAAATATGGTGTCTTCTAAATATCAGGGAACACAATGACAAGTCAACACTAAAAACTAGGCCTAAAGGAAGACCTAGAAAAAATCCAGCAGGGGTAGATGATATGAATTGTGATAAAAAAGATGGAGGCACAAATGACAAATCAACACAAATAAAGAGGCCTAAAGGAAGACCTAGAAAAAATCCAACAGTGATAGCAGTTGATGATATCGATTGTAATAAAAAAGATAGTGGTACAAATGACATATCAACACAAATAAAGAAGCCTAGGGTTAACTATATAATTTTTGTTGGCGCGATAGTGTAAACTTTCAAAGATTGATCCTATTGTGCTAGTGGATTATCAGCTGTGATTAGGCCGATATTGTTCCTTGTTTCATAAAATTTCACACCCGCCATGATTTTATTAATAAATGTGCAATTTGATCAAGCCATCATAATGAACTCAGCTACTGTTACAGTAAACTCTGGTCTAGTTTGCTAGGAATTATAAGTAAACCTTACTAAAAGAATTTCATTGGAAAATATTTTAAACCTGTCAGGGTATTAAGAATTCTTTCAGTGGGTTTTTAACTGATCCTCGTCACTTTGATTATTTGTTGCCAATGGGACTAGCTGCAATGCTTGCTAAAGTTAACTTCAATTTGTTAGTTTAATGTGTGGGAGGTTGTTTTGCTTGGTAATTGGCTGACTTTTTGGATGGGATTATACAATTCCAAGTTTTACTCACGCATTTTGGCCGCTGGTGTTGCTTTCATGTTCTGCTGGTATGGTGTAATTATGAATTTATGATATGCTTATTGGGGCCACACTTGAATTCTGTTATTTTTTTTGTTTGGTATTCTAATTTATAATATATGAGTAGATAATTCTCACACCATCTTCTCATAGAATGGTTTACATTCCTTTATTCTCAGATAGTATTATGCCTCTTTAGATATTATGTATATACTGTAGTGTGTAATGGTCTCCTCCTGGCCCTTCTTCCTCTGCATTATTTCTTTTGGGTTTCTTCTTTCTACAATCCTTAATCTTTTTAACTTCTTTACTGATATGTTTCACTTTCCTTCTTTGCCTGATATGACTTTACAGTGTGCATCGTTTATTAGTCCGCTTCTAGATGGTCTTACAGTTTGCTAGTTACTACCTTCCTCATCAGTCTTTCTTTTCCTCTAGTCATCTTTGTTTCTCTGACTTTTCTTATTTTGTGAAGTTTACCGCCTTACTATATTTTCTGTTTATTTTCAAAGAAAAGTGAGGAAGGATTTGTAGCAGTCTTTTGCAGTATCTGCTTCAGTTTTTAGAATTAATTGATGTCACTCTACCCTAAAGTAAACCCATGATATGATACATACATGGCAATTGCTTAGAATCGTTCAATTCGTTAATTATGGTGGCCAAACATTATGAATGCTGTTTCAGTCATGACTCTGAGATTGGGCAGTTGCAAGTCAGTTTTCATATATAACGTCCCTTGTGGCGCGTAAATTTGTCTGTATCTTTCTTTCTGCCACATAACTAAAATGTTGGTGACTGTCATACTGTGTCATGTATATATACCATTTTCTATATGAATTGAAATAAATTAAATACTTATTCTCCTGATTAATTTATATAGCATTTCTTCAAATGCTATTGCATGCTTATCAGTGTTTTTATGAGCTTTTGTATCGGATGTCGTTGTTTGATCTTTAAATGAATTAAATTGTGACGGTCCTAATGTTGATGGAATTTGGACTGTAAAATATTCAGTGATGATTCTCACGAGCCACGGATCAAAGATTTGGTATTATGTTTAAACAATTCCATTTCAGAATGCGATGGCAACTACGTGTTTTGGTCCTTCATAGAAACCAACTTACACGCGGGAACGTGGAATGATAGGTTTTAGTGTACATAATTACATGCATCAATCCTTGAAAGTCAAATAGTTCCGCCCGTATGGTTTGTTGGCTAGTCTTTGTCTGTTGGCTGACCTAATTCTAAGCCAATTGTTTTTGCCAAATCGTTGTTTGTTGTCTCAATTCTTTCGGTTCTTGGTGGATATGGATGCATCTTCCATGAGTGGTGATATTATCAATGTGTGGTCTAATTTAGATAACTCTCTCAAACACAGATGAATATGAGGTAAAATAAATCAAGTTTCTTTAATAACATAAAATCAAATGTACATCTGTTTTAAAAGCTCTCAACTTTTTTTTTTCTTTCAGAAATTGAAAAGCATGACTTGATTTTTAATTCATGGAAAAAGTTTAATTCATTTCAATTTAGTATTTCTTCTCTTCAGCATTTGCTGAAAAGAATATCCAAATTAAACTTGCTTCACTTTATTTGTCTACTTAATGAATTGATGCCGTTTGGATGGGTTTATACAATTCCAAGTTTTGCCAGCATTTTTTGTCTTTATGATAGGCAAAATAATATCAGGTTATGATTGATGATCTTTTGTCTTTATGATATGCTTGCTGGGGCCAGACTTCAAATATTTTCACCATCGGACTTGTTTGATCAGGGTCTGAACACTGTTCTTTTGACTGGTGTAGATGGATTGATGGGGTAATATTTTTGATATTCCTGTTGGGCCACGTACAGCTTAAAACAAATCATTAATTCATAGTGAATGGTCTCTGACTTGCTCATTGTAACTGTTAAACATCTGAAAATTTTACATTTATTAGTGTTTTTGCATTACTATTTGAAGCAGCCAAAATGGATATTCTTATTTTCCGCCGGGGAAACGTAAAAGCAAGACTATCTTACCATTAAGTATAATGTCTGTTTACATTGAGAGAACTGTTTTTTAATATATATTGTAGTGAATGCTGTCTTTCCTCAGCAATGAGAAGGGAAAGATCTTTCATTGCGTTGTACTTGATTTCTACTATATCCCCTGCAAGATTGTCTTGTAATCCGGTTGAAAACTACAAGTAAGAAATACGGTTCATGGTTTGGAAACTTCTGCAAGCAGAACAAAAAGATCCTTTACTTTCCATTACACTATTTTCCATATGCATGTATATCATGGATACATCAGAAAACTAAAGTTATATAAATAACAATAAGATTTTCCCAATACTTATCAGTTTTCAGAAAATGTCAAAGAAAATGTCAAAGGCATATCCAGTGTTTAAAAACCCGGATCGAACCGGCCGTCGGATCAGTTGGACCGAGAATCAGTGGTTCAGCCGGTCCAAATCTTAAGTTGAATCGGTTATGCAGTTGACTCATTTCAAACCGAATTAAACCGGTCAATTTTTCAGTTCAACTGGTAAACTTTTTTTTCTTTTTTGAAAAAAATTATTTGTTAAATTTTTTAAGGAACCATAAACTACAAAAAAAATAATAAAAATTGAATCTCTTAATGGAAGAACAAAGATTCTTATTAAATATAACAATAACAACTTGTTTTAATGTATTTGTTTATAATATATACAACTCAAATAATTTTTATAGTATATTATTATTAAATTATATATTTAATAACATAATATCTATGTAGATATTATATAATTTTGTGATATCAATTGCAAGCATATTATATATGTACATATTATTTATATTTTTAATTTGTATTAATATATAATTTAACATGTAATTATATATATATATATATATTTACAAAATAAAAATAAAAATAATTTAAATAAAAAATAAAAAATTTAAAATAAAATATGAATTTACTAAAATTTATAAGTATAAAATATATTTAATATAAATATTTTAAAAAAAAATAAATAAAAATTAAGTCATACAATTTAATTAATAATTTATCGATTCAACTTTTGATTCACTAATTTAATACCTTAACTAATTTAATGGCCGTCTTAATTTTTAAAGCTATAGACATATCTATCTCGAGGTTTCTAATAATGAATTACTTTTTATCGGTTTAGATAGTTAAATGTTTCTAGGTAGTGAACTATCTAGACCACAAACAATCAATGCTGGATTATAACTGACGAGCAAGCATAGGTCATGCCCTGTACAGCTGTAAAAACAAGCTGATCCCAAACAACTTTTTGTATTAAAAAAAAGCGAACACATAACAAGAAACAGAAATAAAGTAAATGATACTAATGTTCAGAAATTCTATTAAATCTGCAATATGTTGGCAGAAATCCAAGTCATTTATCTGTCATGAATCATGCGAATAAGGGAGAACTGGATAATTCAATTACATTGACTTATCTATCCTTATAAGAAATCACAACAAAAGTGTTCAATTAAGATCAATAATATGAAAATTAATTTAAGAAGTCTGTGTGACCACATATCAAGATAATACTTTTATATCCAAGCAGCCTTGATGGAATGACAACATATCAGGTCTCCCTCTTCGACCTCGAGCGCAACACTCGACCACCAGCCACTACCTCATTATTAGGGATGGCAACAGGGTGAGTCCGGTAAAGATTTTATGATACCCGTCTTTATTCCCGCGATATAAACTTATTTTCGTACATGTACTCACCATGTATATGATTTTTATCCTCATTTTCATCTCCATCGGGTATCGGATATATCCGTACTCGTACTCATAAAAAATTATTTTTTTTGTAAAAAAATATAATATTTTTAAATTATTTTTTTATTATATTATAATTATAATTAGATTATTTCTTTATTTTATATTTTAATCAAGAAATTTCTTAACAATTATATAACTATAAATATTTCACATTATAATAAATAATTACATATAATAAAATATTAAATTTTTTTAATATAATTAAATCGGGTACGGGTAAGGGTATGATATCATACCTGTACCCGTACCCAATTTAATTTATCAAGTTTTACTTATATCCGTCACCGTATCCAGTCAAACCGAGTATTTCCCATCAAAGTCAGGACTGGTTTGGATATTACTCATGAGTACAGGTTTATTTGTCATTCCTACTCATCACCTAAACCTGGCTCCCTCTTTGCCTTCCTATTTACCTCAACTACTACAAGGCTAGCCCCAGCGCTAAAACAAGTATCGGTCCCGTTCTCAGCCAAGTCAACATTTCCCCACTCGCACTCACATTCAAATCGAAGCCACATTCTTCTTTTACACCACGTTCCACTTCACCTTTCTTCTCAACCGATGAGTTTCGAGCCTCTGAACCCTCAACACCTAAGTCAACAGTCTCATGCTTGACAACAATCGTTTCATTGTGAGCAACTCTTCCACCACCAGAAATCGTCCCCACTCAAGTTTGGGATCTCATCCCCTTCTCATTTCTCACGGAACCCTAATTCTACAAACACCGTATAGTTAGGGTAATAAAAAAAACGAATAGTTATTGAGCCAATGCAGCCCATTAGGGTTTCAGTTTGAAGACCCTCAGACCCTCTCACACGGTCACACCGCACCGCACCGCACCAGCCACCATAGCTGCCATCTCACCGCACCATAAGTCATTGCATAGCTGCCACCGCACCACATTGCAAGTCACTGCGCGCACCACGCATCGGGGGCCACTGCGCGCGCAAGCCACCGCGAGCCGCCGCACACATCGGAGCCACCGCGCGCACAACGAGCCGCCGCACGCATCAGAGCCACCGCGCGCACTGCAAGCTGTCGCACGCACCGTGAGCCACCGCGAGCCACCACGCGCAAATCAGACAGGTATATTCTGCATTATGAGTTGTCGTGTGAGATACAATTTGGTTTGTTTTAGGTCGATCAGTTTTTGAGATTTTTCTGATATACCGGGATGGGATGTGTTTTTGGAATTCCATAAGGTAACATGGGATTTTTGCCTGAAATAAAAAAAAAATATATTAACACAAAATAAATTAAAAAAAAAAAAGCTAATTATTAAAGTAGGTGATTTTTGACAACAGGTGGTATAGAAAGTGTAGGGGGGCGTTTTGTAGATGGTGCCTCCTCTCGTGTGCTTTCAGTGGCATGTGAAATAGAGAAAGCGCAAGAGATAGGGTGTTTTGCAGATGGCGCCTCCAACTCCCAACGCCTTCTTCAATTGGCGCCTGATGCCATCAATTTTATATGTGCATAGCACCTCACCCCCAGGCACCATAAATTTGGGAAAACACCTTCCCCCTGATGCCATCAATTTTATATGTGCATAGCACCTCACCCCCAGGCACCATAAATTTGGGAAAACACCTTCCCCTGCGCTTTCTATGCTACCTGTCTGCAAACGTGTCAAAAATCACCTATTTTGGTGATTAGTTTTTTTTTTAATTTATTTTATGTAATTTATTTTATTTTATTTATTTCAGCCAAAAACCCGGGTAACCTGAGTATGATTTTTAATTGAATTTCTTTCTATTGATGTATCTAACATAATAACAAAAATATAAAAGGTGTGGACTAAGTTATATTTTCACATATTATTTTCTGGATTTGCTTTCTTATCATGACATGTTATCTTGTGTTCTCCCTGTACTTGGAGGTGGATATTGCACCGCGATACACTCTTAATATTAATTATATTTGTCGGCTGTAAAAAAAGTAAATAAAAAAATTATCTTTTTTAAATTAAGTGAGCTAACTCATATAACCCACCAACTCGTCATGAGTTGGGATTTTAAGCTCATTAATAAATGAGTCGGATTGTGTTAGTCTACCAAATGATCAACACATAGTAGGCTCCATTTTGACAGCTTTATTGTTACATTAAACTCTGGTCTAGTTTTGCTAGGAATTATAAGTAAATCTTACTAAAAGAATTTCATTGGAAAATATTTTAAACTTGTCAGGGATGGAAGCCACTTCTCTTCCCAGATTTTATGCTCCTTCCGTCACCAACCAGAACCGCCCAATGAAGAACTAATTCTAAAGAGTGCCTTAACCCTATAATCGTCCAAGCATAGCTAGGTTAAAAAATCAACACTTCCTGTTAAGATATTCCCGTGAGGGGGATGTCTAGCTTATAGTACTCTGAAGTAATGAGACAACCACCAATAGTCTTCAAATATTGCTTTGTCTTTAGCATAGCTAGATAGGTCGTAAATTGGTGGAATGCACGTTCAATCCTATTCATGATTGTTGGGTTATTGAAATGAAAATCTGTTTCAAGTTTACGAACGGGTAACCAAAGACACCCTTCTCTTAGACAAACAAGTTTACTTGGGAATATCTAGTTGGCAGGACCAATTGGAAATTTGTTTTTTATGCATCTCTTAGCCCAAATCAAGACATACGAGGACTTCGACTAGGTGAAGATTCCCAAAAATCTGACACAGCCAGTTTCAATTTCAGATTTGAAAAATGGCGTTTCCATTCTAACTTTCTACGTTTTCACCTTGAGGAGGTTTCATTTGTGGCATTCACAAAAAAGTAGGCTTTTTGACCTAGTTAAATTTTAAAAAAATAAAAATACACAAAATAAATTAAAAAAAATAACAATTTACTGGAATGGGTAGTTTTTGACATGCAGGATGCCACGTGGATGAGAAAATGCATGGGGGTGGGCGTTTTGCAGAAAAAGCCTCCCCCTAGGCACCTTATGTGGCTAATGTGGCAGCTGAGCCACGTGAAAAAGAAAGAGCAGGTGGGGGAGGCATTTTTCAGAAAGAGCCTCCCCACCAGGCGCCTTCTGTTTACTTATGACATGTGACATGTTGGAGAAGAAAGAGCAGGTGGGGGAGGCGCCATCTGTTTACGTGCTGACATGTTTCAATGCGCCTCTCCCCCAGGCGCGTTGTACGTGATGCCCTAGCCCCAGGCGCGTTGTACGTGACGCCTTAGCCTCAGGCGCTATCAAATTCAAACACTAGTTAAATGTAGAACGTGTTATTGGGTCTCACAAAATTCAGTTCCTCCAGTGTGGTCCAGGTGCTATCATATTTTATTTGGTGGTCCAGGGTAGTGCAAGTGAGTATCATATTTTATTTGTTGTAATTTTAAATTTTAATTTTTATAATAGAATGGTGTAATGATTATTATTTTTTTTAAATAGAATGGTCAGTACGTAAGTTTTAATAGCAAAAACAATTGCTTACTGTGTTGTAGCAGGTTTAGGGTTCGAACCTCGGGACCTGACATCTCCAAAACCTTTACATTCATCTACTCCAAAGAGGAATGGGAGACGCAGACGAAAACGCTTGCATCGATGAAATATTGGATTTCAAGGGGAAGAAAAAAATCAAGAATACAAACCAAGCGACAGAGACAGGTGCTGTGAAGGAACCAAATTCTGCAACCGTCAACGATGGCGATGATGTTAGTTCTACCTGTGGTTTTAGGATTTCTCCATTTGATTTCTCGGTTGAGAGTTTCTTCCGAGACATGGACACCATTGCCAGACTCTGCGGGGAAGAAGAACACGGTGCTACTTTTGACCAGAGTGAGATTCAGAGAATGTCTTCTTCAGTCACTTTCTTAAGGTACTAACTAATGTGTATATATATTGGAATTTGCTTACAATCACTTGATTTTTAGTTGGAGTATGTTATTAAGTTATAACTATGATTATATAAAATGTACCTACCATGTAGCTCGTTAATGTACAAATAAATAAGTGTGTATTATATTAGCAAATCCATGTATATATGTGTGTATCATAGGGCATAATGTATGTGTATGTATGGATTTTCAGCTATGTCTATTTTCCTGTTTATGTGTGTGTGCCAATTTTGCTCCGTTTTATTATTGACTTGTTATGCCTTAGATTTATAGTTAATGTGTGTCTAAGGTATGACTTTTGATTATTAATGATGCATATTTATTTATTAATTTTATTTTTTGTGTATGTGTGGAATGAAAATTATTTATTTGTATCAACTATCTTCTGCATAATAAAACCAACTTTAAAATGGTTTTTCTGATAATTATATCTGAAAAGAGTTGAATAAGTGTCAACTAGTTAGAAATCACAAACTCAATAAAGTTACCATATATGACAGTTTGTGATTGGATTGGACTATATAATGTGAAACAAAAACCTTTGCACTTTAGTAGTTACAAAAGGCCTTATATTTAAAAGCTGTCCAATGTGCTTAGATATCTAGAATTTAGAAGTTTCCAAATGAACCCTTAATTTATTATTTTTGTTTACTTTTAATGTGCAGAGAATGGAGAGATTTTAAGTATCCATCAAGAAACATTAAGTTTGCTTACGGACTTGAGAGCCCTGATTGTTCTGTGGGAAAATATGTCAGTACCATTAATTTGCCTCCATTTTCATCTGCCTCCATACCTGAGGTATAAGTTGTTCCATATTGTATACTTCTTTATTTGTTTCCTGGCTAATCTTAGCGACATAAATTTGCTCAAACATTTACCTCTACACATTATCATTTATATGTTTATTTTAGCATGATATGCAAAAGGAGCAACTTGGGGAGGCCGAGGCTCAGGAATGCAGGTGTGGCTAAGATATAGCTATTTGTGTTGTTTTATTCATTGACATTGCAATGGTGTTATAGTGCATGTTTGTATTAATCATATAAAAATTATCTTTGAACTTGCTAATAAATTAAAGCATTGTTGGAGCAGAGATTTTGTGATGAATGTTGGAGGCTCTGTTTGGGCACTAGATTGGTGTCCTCGGATACATGAAAAGCCTGATTGTTCAATTAAATGTGAGGTACTTGGTTTTCTCTCTTCCTTTACGAGTTTAACACATGTATCAAGCCTTATTGTAGTTTTTTTTTTTTTTTTTTTGCTGTTGTAATGAGAAGTCTTGTTGCTTGAATGTAATCCAAATGGTTAATTCTGTTTGTGTGATGGTTCTGTTGCCTCACATGTTAAGGATGATTGGCTAATTGAAGTAGCGTGTTGACAAAATAGCAAGGTTAGAGGGCTATTTATTGGCAGTGAATAATGATGTTTGAAGATTATTGATTCTATGCAATTTTATTTTTCCGTATGATTGATGCTCAAAAGCAATTTCTATCACATGCATAAGAAAGTCGAGGTTTTAAGTTAATGTTATTTTACAACTTATTTTTTTTTACTAAGTAGATAGCTAATTTTATTTTAAAACTTTAAAGGGTTTGTCAATTGCACTGCAATGGCTTCATGACTCAGTGTTACAGGGTATGTCCATGATAAAACACCCAATGGTGTGGCATGTGGCAGTTCAACATAAAGATGCCATAGCTATTGTAGTTTTGACTGACCTACCTTACATGCATATTTGGAATAATGTTGTGGCTCTGTCATTTGTTTGTCTACATTTGTATTTGTATGTAATGAACTGATACACTAAGCTTTGCTCTTTAGATATAGAAATAGAAAATAATGTACATTTTTTTTTCTGTAAACCTTGTACATTAAATTACCTTTTATGTGATATTTGTTTTAGTTTATTGCTGTTGCTGCTCATCCACCTGGTTCTTCTTATCACAAGATGGGTGCCCCACTTACTGGTAGAGGTGTCATACAAATATGGTGTCTTCTAAATATCAGGGAACACAATGACAAGTCAACACTAAAAACTAGGCCTAAAGGAAGACCTAGAAAAAATCCAGCAGGGGTAGATGATATGAATTGTGATAAAAAAGATGGAGGCACAAATGACAAATCAACACAAATAAAGAGGCCTAAAGGAAGACCTAGAAAAAATCCAACAGTGATAGCAGTTGATGATATCGATTGTAATAAAAAAGATAGTGGTACAAATGACATATCAACACAAATAAAGAAGCCTAGAGGAAGACCAAGAAAGAATCCAACAGTGACAACAGGGCATGATATGAATTGTGATATCCAGTATATGTCAGCTCTTGCTGTTCAATTTCCAGAAAATTCTACTAAGTTTCCTACTCCAGATGGGAATCATGAAAACAATGAAGAAAAACTTCCTGAAGGCCCAAATGACAAATTGACACAAAAAAGGAGGCCTAGAGGAAGACCTAGAAAGAATTCCACAGTGATTGTAGTGGATGATATGAATTGTGAGACCCGGAACCAGTCAGCTTGTGACGTTCAAATTGCACAAAATTCTACCGAGTTTCCTGCTTCCGATGGGAATTTTGAAAAGAATGAAGAAATACTTCTTATTACATACAAAAGAAAAAGAGGAGCTAAAAGAAATAATGAGACAAATGAAAAATCAGCAGTAATAAAGAGGCCTAGAAGAAGACCTAAATCAAATTCAAGAGGAGTAATGGAAGATGGTTCAAATTGTGAGGATGAATCTATGCCTCTTGATGTTCAAGTACTAGAAGATTCAACTGAATTGCTTTCTCCAGATGTGGCTCATGACAATTGCAATGAATATGCTATGCAACAATATTCTGTTACAAAGCAAAGGCATGCCAAGGAAGCTGTTTCTGCCTGCAATACTATTTCAACAACTCTTGTTAAAAGCAGTGGATTAAAAAACAATCATACTGAGGACATATATGGCCATGACATAAGTCAGCCAGTACAGTATGAAAATGAGGCAAATCATCAACCACATTGTACCTCTGAATTGGAAGCTCAACCAGCTACTTGTTCTATTCCAGAGGATATAACTTTGCCTAGATTAGTCTCTTGCCTAGCTCATAATGGAAAAGTGGCATGGGATGTGAAATGGCGACCTACTAACATTTCTGATTCTTTTGGAAAATACCGAATGGGCCATCTGGCTGTCTTGTTGGGCAATGGATCTTTGGAAGTGTAAGATGTCTTGAGCCTCAATCTCCTTTTGCTAATGTTCTTCATGATACTGTTGTGATTTCTTCTTTTTGTTGACTGTTTTATATGTTGTTACTGCTGTCACCTTTATTAGATTTGAAGTATTTGAAATTTGGATATTTTAAATAATTATGTTTCTAATTATTATAGTGTAATAATGTGTGAGAGAATACCATTTCTCTTTTAGTCGAGTTGTTTAGGTTTTTTTTTTCTTTTGTGGATTGTCCCATCTTCTTACTTACTGTACCTCAGTTAATCTGTTGCAAGACAGTTATAACTGTCTCAGTGACAGTTATAATTTCACAGCTGGCACCAGCCATTGCTTTAAGCTTATATAAATGCATGCTAGTATTGTAAACAGAAGCTAGTCAGTTGTGTATTTTCAATCTTTAGAAATACCAAATACTCTCTTAGAATTCTCAAAACTCAATATTCTGTGTAATATAATACTGACTTCATGAAAACTTGGAGACATAATGGACAAAGGACAATTACTAGAAAACAGATAATTAGTATTGAAAGTAGTTATATTTTGAATAAAATGTGCAAACTATGGTGCATGAGATAAGAAGGAAGTGTTTCCCAATATATATAAATGTTTTTGTCACAAGTGACTTATTTTTAAAAGTGACAAATTATTCATCATAAAAAATATGAAGTGTTTTTATGAATATTTATTGTTATTGTATTAGCAAGTTATAAAAATCAAATTAAAGTAGTTAGTTCTATAATATACTCATTTAGTGGCCAATTAACCTTCTAGCCCTCAAAAATTAACTCAACTAATTAATATAAAAATAGAGAAAAACAAATTGAATTGACCAAATAGATAAATATTAAAAAAATATATCAATGTCTAAATCATGGTTTGAACATGACCTTTTTCACTTACTATCATCATTGATTTATGTTTTGAATATTTATTTGTCTATATACTTACTTTTATAATTAATAATCTATTGATTTCTATTTGTACTTTACCTTCTCTAAATTGATGTTTACCTTGCTTTTTAACAAATAGGAACTATATTTTTCCATAATGTTTCGTTATGGAAAAGGGAGAAAACATTCAATTTTTTTTCCATAATAGCATTGTTGTTTTAAAATATCAGCATATTGTTGTCTGAAACCCTTTTTTCACAATATATATCACTTTTAATATAATTTGCTTTATATTTATATAGGTGGCTTTGTGGAAATTTTGTACAAATTCTTCATCAAAATGCGAGGGTAATAATTTTGTTACTTTATGTGTGTCTCATGTTTACCTATTTGGTTGTTAGAGCAGGTAGCTATATTGAAAAATAAGTTTATGCTTTATTGTTTATTTACTAAATTTGCATTCTACAGATTCAAAGCCCGTGCTTTGTTTTGGTGCGGATACAGTTCCTATTAGAACTGTTGCCTGGGCTCCATTTGAAGGGTTAGTAAAATTAAACCTTAGCCATGGCATGTTGTTGTTTGCATTGAATATATTTCTGTTACTGTGTTTTTTTTTGGTCGGCAAAGATAATATATATATATATATATATAAGGAGCACCAGAAGTGCTAAAGGAAGTACAAGAAAAGGGCATAAAGCCTCATTGTTACTATATATCTTTAAGAAAAACAAAATTCAGTTCAGATTATAGAGAAAATTTCTGTAAAAGTTGAGGATTTTCACTTCTTTATAAACCCTCATTGTTAAATAATAGATACTCCAACTACAACCATATCTAACTAATTAAGTCTCAGAATTTTTCTGAAACTTGTTTATTTATTATGTGTATTTTTGTGCGTGCCTCTGAAATCAGTGTGGAGGTTGATTTATTCCTTTTTCCTTTTTTAATTATGCCCAGAAGATATCAATTCTCATTCATGTAATGCAATCGGTTTCTTTCCTTCTTAATCAACAAACTCTTTCCCATTAAAAAGTAAAAGAAAAGTAGCATCATTTATGTCTGGAGTTTACCATTATTGGCTGTACACATGCACCCTTGTTTTTTCCATGAAGATTGCTTCAATATCAAGAAGTTAGTTTATTACACATGCAAATATCATACATATGAATTTATTGTATTTACATCATTTCCGTATCTTTTTACCTTCATATGTTGAATGCAATGTGAGATTTTCTTTTAATATTCCAGTGATCCAGAGAGTCCTAATATAGTAGTAACTGCCGGACATGAAGGCCTTAAGTTTTGGGATCTACGGTGAATCTTTTTATCCCCCCTCATTGTTTTCTGTTTACTTTGTTATCTTATTTCTTTATAGTTCATTTTAAACGTATAATCATTGATGGTTATGTTGCTTTCTATCTTATATTTAATTAAAATAAAACTTTTATACTAGATAATGATTTTTGTTAAACTTAACAAAAGCTTTAACATGAACTTGTCATATTTTTAAAAATATTTTAGAGAAAATAACTCATTTTCATATTATAATGTTTTACATAATGTCAAATTTAAAATAATGTCAATAATGGGACCTTAATTCAGTTTTTGATTAGGTATGCATGATTTTGTTTTGATCAAAGCATTTGGATGGTTGCATTATGTTATTGGAGTAATGGTTGGTGTGTTGTTATTTTATTAAGGTTTGGAAAACACCACTGTACTTGACTTGTTTACATCCATCAAGCTGGTGAATAGGTCTTTTCCATTCCCAGCTTGGATACAATTTTCTCAAAATTGTGGTTGCCTAATCCCTTGGTAAGAATGTCTGCAATTTGGTCTTGAGAGGACACATATGGAGTGCATATCAAGCCACTATCAAGCTTTTCTTTGATGAAGTGTCTGTCTACTTCAATATGCTTTGTTCTATCATGCTGCACTGGGTTGTGGGCTATGCTTATTGCTGACTTATTATCACAATAGAGCTTCATAGGTCCTTCCGATTTTATC